TGATTTATTAAAATTAAAGTCATGCAGAATCAGTTTCCGATGCATAGTTACAGTTTTTGGCAGTGGTACGGGGATCCTTAAAATAAAAATGTTTTAATGAAAATCACAGCATCATGCTCACAGTAGCTTAAAGCCGTATGTTTAGAGTCTAAACAAGTTACATCCAAAGTCAACTAGACATAATTTCCGAAGGAAAATCACCTTTTTTCAAAAGTGAGAAACTAGATAAACAAAGTTGTCATAATGTCCAAATTACGCGTAAAAACTGACAGACTCTGATATTTACACAAGGACATCTGTGTTTGACTTGTGTAGAAGTGAAGAGGCTATCAACAGAGCGTGAACTCTCCCAGGAACAAGGCCTCACTCTGAATGTTTGTGTTAAATATTTTTAAACGTCAGTCGAAAAATTGAAGAATTGAAATGGAATACACTGGAATACAAAGTGAGGGGTACATCGATCTTTGTCGCAAGGATGCTTGGTGAAATTTCGTCGTTCATCCTAGTAACAGATGTGACTAGGCGTTCAGGGGCCATAGCTTGCTGGCCGGGACAATCATGGTCTGACCAAGTCTTGTAACGAGAGGTTAATTTGTTTTCGACATGCCAATTATATGATGACAATGATAAGAGCCCTAGGGACAACACACACCCAAATGTCATCTGGATTTCTTGCACTCCCTAATTCCACCATACGGTAGCACTGCCCGTTTTTCATGGGCCGTTAAACTCTGATCTCTGATACAACTATGGAGAAATTGACTTAATTTTCATGGTGGTACAAAATTGTTATTGAGAAGAGATGAGCTGTAATCATTGAATTTCTGCATTAGGCCGTGTAAGTGTGACTTTATGAAGTGTATTTAACTATTTGGCATTCTAGTGTAGCTAAGATATAAGGTAGATCAACTGCAAACTTATCATTAAAACATTACTAAAGTAATACATGAAAATATGTTCATCTGCAGTCAAACGTCACAAGAGGTGGGACCTTGATGGTTTCTCCGTGTCCCAATACATAGGACAGACAGGGTTGGGGACCTTGATGGTTTTTCTGTGTCCCAATACATAGGACAGACAGGGTTGGGGACCTTGATGGTTTCTCAATCTGTGTCCCAATACATAGGACAGACATGGTTGGGGTCCTTGATGGTTTTTCCGTGTCCCAATACATAGGACAGACACGGTTGGGGACCTTGATGGTTTCTCTGTGTCCAAATACATAGGAACAGACAGTATTTATTTATCTCATTAATTTATGATTTTTATAGACTTATTAATTTAATTCATACAGTTATTTTAATATGATTTTAATGGACAAAGACATATTGGATTCAGTATAAACTATTTTGCTATGTATTTGTTTATTTATTTATGATTTTCTTTAAAAAATGACTGTGTGTGTGCTAATTCGCTACATTAAACTGAGATTTGATGGGCAGACACCTTCGGTGTTGTCTGGTACACGTGATGGTCGTGTGCCGTGCACGCTATCTCAAAGAAGTGGCGTTATTATGAATTCCGTTTGAAGGGTTGTTAGCCACTAGATAAAGGACTCAAGTATTTCTGGAGCACCCTACTTATTCCGTCCTCAAGGTTCGAGAGGCTATAGAATTTGTGTTACAGGCTCATCATCATTAGGGTCTGTTTGCATTGTGTTAACTCCGTCTTAGCGCTCAGTCTGTCAGGTATGGGACAGAAAATTATGTCTCAGTGAAAAAATATTCTTCAAATGTGAGTGCTTGAGTTTTGATTGAAAGGTAAAATACAATTTTTGAAAAACCGGTAGCCAAATTTTTTGTAAAATTTTTGTTGATTAATATATACAAAATTAAAAAAAGAAATATTCATAAAAGTAAGGAATAATTTTTTGAAGTTTAAAGTTTTTATAAGATATGTAAAGATAAATAAATAAATAAAAAAAGGGGTTACAATTTGTCAAAAAATATGTTTTTGTGTTTTTATGTCATGGATTTAGCTACATACAGAGAGGGTGTGATAGAGATTAAATAAAGAAATGTGTGAGTATGATTTGTAGTGGCAACAACCTGCTATAGACACGAGAACCAGTTCTCATACAAAAATACAATGTTTTGTCTAAGTAAAGCTAGCAAACTGTAGCCTTGCCCCAGAGGAATCCCATAGTTAACGTACAATCTCAGTAATAGGTCATACATATGTATCGAGTCTTAGTAGTGTACACTTAAACCGAAGTCACGTGTATAAAAAAAAAATCTAGAATTTTAAAGATTGCGTCTCTGTTGCGTGCCGCTGCCAATTTTGACACATAACTATGGTTTGCAGAAAAATGTCTGCCAGACGATTGCACTTTATGGAACTAAAAACTCGCAATTTAACATTTTTCGATATGTAGAATTCTTTGGAAAGTTTTGTTATTTATGTTGAATGTCAATGGTAAAACTCATCTTGAATTCAAGTTTTTTTAGATGTATTTATTTACACAGAAGAAATGAGTGAATAGCTAGTATTTTTTTCAGTTAAAAGAATATATAAAATATCTTGATATGGTAATGTAGGTTCTGGATAAGATACATACTGTATTTGATTTAAATAAGGGCACCAAGTACGGGTAAATAAGGAGTTAGTAAGTAATAGCGATGTCTCTCAAGAACGTTTGACTGTACCATCACAAGACTCAATGTCTAATGTATGAACACTTTGCTTTTGTAGACTGGTGGCTTTAATAGGCAGGTGGTCATTCTAGGCAGGTATACTTATATAGGCAGGTGGTCATTCTAGGCAGGTATACTTATATAGGCAGGTGGTCATTCTAGGCAGGTATACTTATATAGGCAGGTGAAATAAGCTATTGACTTTAATGGGCAGGTGGTCTTACTAGACAGGAGGCTTTAATAGGCAGATGACATAAGCTATTGACTTTAGTTGTCAGGTGGTCTTACTAGACAGGAGCCTTTAAAAGGCAGATGACATAAGCTATTGACTTTAATGGGCAGGTGGTCTTTAATCGGAAGGTGAATTTAATTGGCAGGTGGTCTTTGATTGGCAGGCAGTCTTTCTAGGCAGGTGACTTTAATTGGCAGGTGGTCTTTCTAGGCAGGTGACTTTAATTGGCAGGTGGTCTTTATATATAGGTGACCTCAATAGGCAGATGACATAAGCTATTGAATTTAATCGGCAGGTGGTCTTTCCAGGCAGGTGATCTTTATAAACAGGTGACTCTTCTAGACAGATTTCAATTTATTTGTGAAAACGAAGTGATGTAATAGAATAAATTGTAAACAAATCTTGTTTGTGTTATTTCACATGTAACTTGGATAATTAATCAAAGATGAAATTCAGACTGTTATTGGAAAACACTGATTCTTACTTGTATTTAAAGAAGAACTTTTGTTCTTGTTCAAGAATCCATTGAATGTTGTTCCAGCTGAAGACGTGTGAATGGGTCGAAGATTATTTTACTGTATGATTTACTCTCTAAAATCACTTAGATGAATAATGTTGCTAATTGGATTGTCGTAAATGTTTTATACCAAGTTGGATTTTATGATGTTCAAAACACATTTGCCCTCCACACGATGCTTGGGGCTATAACGAAATCGGTCAATATCTAATTGTCAACCAATCAGGATAAACAGGTGCCACACCGATCACTTCCAAGCAAGTTCACCTCGCATTGTGCATAGTACATGAGACTTGACTTATAAAATATGCAACATATATGTAAATTAATGATAAGCAGATTTGATGACAAATACAGGTTATTTACCTGAGCTCCGAGTTACAGGATAATAGGGTTATGATGTGCAGGCTTTTTATACCTGAACCGTACCAAATATTAATTCTGATAAACGCCCTGCTGATAATTAGCACACACACATTCTTCAGAACAGATAACTGTACAAAATGGGAAAGATAAATTCAAGCAGCTTATACGAACCTGTGAAAACAGAACGTCTGTCAAATATAGAAAGTTAGTGAAATACAAGGTATCATTGTGATATGGTAATTATACTTGCCAACTTTTTTAAATTCCCATGGGGAGATTACATGTGTGCAGAATTGAAAACATAAATAAAATGTGTGCTATAGTACACCCTAGGGAAAAATACCACTTTTAAAGGACATCTTTTGAGCTGTTCTGTCAGATGAAGTTATCAGATCCTAGAAAATGGGAATAGTTGAACAATTAACAACTGGGTTAACAGGTGTAGTTTTATTTAAGATAACTATGGTTTACAGTTGAAGTTTATAATTATAGTATATAATACAGGTATAGAGTTAATTATGATGTCCTTGGTATTCAAATGTAGTGTTATTTAGATAACTACGGTATACAGACGAAGCAATAATTATAGTAAGTTTGTAATACACTGGTGTGTAATAATGCTAACTATGGTATACAGGTGTAACAAAAGCTGATTACTGAAATGTAACAAATACCTATGATGTGTTTGTGGAACAAAAACTCCTGCATTGTCCTGAAACATGGAAATGGACAATGTTGAGTTTCAGTTTCTCGTCACCTTCAACGTGGACGACAGGAAAGATGTGAGGTTTGTTAACCTGTGTATAATGACAACTTATAAACCTGTGTATAATGACAACTCATAAACCTGTGTATAGTGACAACTTATAAACCTGTGCATGATGACAACTCATAAACCTGTGTATAGTGACAACTTATAAACCTGTGTATAATGACAACTCATAAACCTGTGTATAATGACAACTTATAAACCTGTGTATGATGACAACTCATAAACCTGTGTAGAATGACAACTTATAAACCTGTGTAGAATGACCAGTGATGAGTTTTTCAAAGACCAGTGGTTTACCTTTCTATAACCTGAGAAAAGGACCAGACTTAATATAAAACCATATATATAAAAGATGTGTAGCACACCAGATCAGAAAAGTCTACGTTTTGATATATTCAACAGAATTGTTCAGACTAATGAGGTGATGTATGTATGTTTTATTTATCGAAGCTGGTGTTATCAGATTGTTTTCTGTTTCAGTGTTAAAACACCAGTGAAGGACCATCCCCCTAAGAGTAACCCCAGTAAACGCCACAGAGAAAGACTCAACGGGGAACTCGACCATCTCGCCAGTTTACTGCCGTTTGAACAAAGTGTTATATCTAAACTTGACAAACTTTCTATTCTTCGACTTGCTGTAAGCTATCTCAGGACCAAGAGCTACTTCCAAGGTAGGACAACATTTGAAAAAAACATACATACATATGCGACTGTTCTTGCAGGCAAGGTGAATTTTTTTGTCAAATTTTTAGAGCAACCAATTCCAATTTCAAAATGACACAAATACCACATATTAAAACCTATGTATACAACAATCCAGTAATTTACTGGGAACATAAGTACAAACAGAAACAGCAGAAATAATACAGAATACATACTTTACACATTGGGCAATAACAGTCTAATGTGGTAATACTCGCAGCCTTAGTGATTGCGGCCCGGCCCAGATCGGTGACACATGATTAAAAAAAAACTATACAAGAAAACACTGCTTATCCAAACCTTGATAGTGATTTTCCAAACTTTAAATAACAGTTAAACTTTCTCATGTGCCTCCCTCCATTGAGAGACCACCTGTGTTAGGAGACCGCTTTTTATATGTTCCTCATCCTCATTGTAGCGATTTCATTGTGAAGTGAACCTGTATTAAAAGACCACTTTTTGGACTTTTCGAGCATGATCTTTTGATACAAAGTAGACATACTGTATTTGAAACTTATAAAAAGCTTGGAACCAGTTATCCAAACAACTGCTTGTCCAAAGCAGTACCCCTCCGAACCATTTACATGTCCCCCTGTTTGGTTGGGATAATCAGCTCCCTTCATTATAATACTTATGTGGATCATACTTCTTGGACTTAATGAGATTTAATGACTTAATACAAAACTTATTTTTGGAAGAGGGCCTAGTAAGTTGTAAAAACTTGTGCCAAATCCCTTTGACTGTTCAATGTCAGTAAAATACGTTTGATTGAACTACTTCCTGATTGAATACCTTTCTCGATGGATGGTGGTTTTTAGTTGTAATACTGTTCAATGGCTTCATTTCTATGAAGGAAAATTAATTGAAGTGTGAAATAAGAAGCTCTCGTTCATATAACAATTTGAAGGGCCCAGTAAAATAGAAGTGAAGACCTGATAAAATAGCAGTTTGAATGACTCCTGTCAAATAAGGAGCACGAGGAACATGGCAAAATTACAACTTGAATGATGGAAGAGCTATTTTTAGTACCAGTTTGAGAAAGAAAAAGAAAAAAGGACATTTTTCATCAGTAGTAATATCAGAAGATACCTATATCTTTTGCGTCAAAGTTAATTTTGTTTTAATTGAAATGGACTTCCCTTAATCGATGTGCATTGAATTATGGAACATGTGACGGATGCATTTCTTTTCGCAAATAAGAAACATCCTGTTCATGGTTAAAGACCAGGCTCCCATTGATTTAGACAACGCTGATCACCGCCTATTATGATGAAAGGGTAACGTGAAGATGGTAGAGGGAGGGGAGGGGAAGGTGAGAAGGTTTAAAATGAAAAAGAATAAAACCTTTAAAGCGTTAAAGTGTTTAAAACCCATTACTCAGCAATAACAGCATTATGTATGAGATGTATACATATCCAACTGTCGTCTAACACAATTTCACGCTAAAAGTAGTCCTCATTTCCAGGCAAACGCATCCATAACCTAGATCTACATGGGCTTTCCACGCGCCAGACAAGAGTTTGAATTTGCTCCTGACATGCAAAAGATATGCGCCATGCAATGTGTACTCGCATTCCCTTCTTGATTTAACCTTGTTGAATGATTTTCTTGTGAAGAGACAAAGTTTAATTAATGTGTTGCATGCGTTAGAGCTGCTCCGACACCCTCAGACATGCACACGATATAGTGCGGAAGTTCCGTGTTTCCGTGACGAAGAATGTTACGGTACTGTCGAGTCTCATGTCTCTAGCAAAGCAGTCAAAACATGTAAACATACAGATTTCATGTGCATTGTTACTGTAATGTTGGGGCTTTTTTTTATCTGTCCCTGAAGCGAGACTAGTAGTCATTCGGCAGTGAAGTTTTTCATTGTAGTTATTAGCAGAGGCCTATACGTAGCTTACAGCCCAGCTGCATATGTTCGGTAATCCGCGGAACAAAATAAAGGGTTTTTATTTTGCGTGATCCTTACCATAAGGGGATTTAGTGCAGTGTACATGTTCAGACAGTGAAATAATTTGGAAAACAGAATTGTTTACAATATGATTTTGTTTTTTTCAAGGATAAACATTGAGACAAACTTTGAAGACAAGAGATATATCATTTTCAGATGTTTCCATAAAAGGTTGAAATTAATTTGGGGTCTAGAGCCTGTTTTTACTGCATAAAGTTCTGATTAAACATGTTCATTCAGATTGATTACAATAAAAGTTTTTATTTCAATTTTGTTTAGCCTTGAATCTCCTAGAAAAATTATTTGAATCAGCATTATATTAATGTGCCAAATTGTATTTCTTGATAATTTCGTGTAAAACTATTTTTTTGGACATAACGTCACGCTACCACAATTGGTACACTACCCAAATTGGTACACGGTCAGAGAATTGTTTGAATAGTACTTTAAAATTAAATTTGAGCCTTTTCCATTAACAGGATAACAAAATAGACATTTAACAGCATTTCTGCCGAATAGTTTTGTTTTCAGGAACATTTTAAGAGTACACGATGACTTCAAAGTAAACATATTGGAAAACCAGTAAAAACGACGTACGTCGACGAAACTTTGGAGGATTTTCAAGGGTTTAAATATAAGCATGTTTAAATGTTGATTTCTGGTCCTTATATTCGGATAATATAAAAGTGAATATATACAATTATAGTTCAGTGTGGTATCTATAAAAGCAATATATTTTGTTGTAATCGGCGCATCAACTTGTAGAAATATAAACAATTTCCATAGCCTGTGATATGGTGTACCAATTTGGGTATTATTTACGGCCGAAAAACGGACGAAATCTCACTCCGAGTTTAGCGATCTATTTTCAAAAATAAATTACTTAGATATAAATCTTTTCCTGAAAATGAACCACCATAGGTAGTCTTTGTCAAGAATCAAGAAACATTCCAGATACAAGATCTGAATTTTTAAAGATCACTAAAAAACTGTCAAAATTGTACCAATTGTGGTAGCGTCACGTTACATTATCACAGTTTACTGAAAATTAGGTCTTGTCATCATAAAAAAGTAATATATTGAAGAAAGAGTTTCACTATAATTAGTGTAGCATTTTGTTTGATTTTATGTGGAAAAAAATACTATGATCATTTTAATAAAGAGAGAATTAATTAATGGGACCAAAAAATCCCTTTGAATTCAAATCTAGGTTGAAAGTAAAGTGAGTAATTAGTATCCAAGTGTGGCTGATATATATATATAAAAAAAAAATCATATCTTAATTTTGAAAATCAGTATAATTACTGAAGTTCCAGTGTCCTGAGGTTTTTTGGAATTATTTTTTAGCCCTATTTTTTTACTGAGATTCCTGGTCTAGATTGTCCTAATTGGACCAGCGGTAGTTACCCTCCATTTCATTCCAAGAAGAGCATCACAAATCAAACCTGAAAATTTGGAACCATTTCACAAATGAAATATGAGAAATTTCTTTAAAAGATGAAATTACTGTCATCATAATGAATGAAAACAGTTCCCTCCATCATTCGGAGAAAAACATTTGATTTCTCTCAGTGTGAATCGTATTTGGTAGTCCAGTGAAGTTTGATCATTTTGGGCAGAGTGTATGATGATGTGTTTGTGTGGTGGAGGTACGGAGCCTGATGGAGCCAGTCTGGAGTGGCCCAGCCAAATTACCGCTATAATTGAAGCAGTGGTGGGTCCTCGTTCTAATTATACTCAATAATCATTAGCTTTGCCAGTCAATCACTGCTGTTTCAATGTTTACCCGAAAACGCGGACCACACAATCAATTCTTCTTATTTTTCACTTTTCCATTTAACTCAGAAACCACTACATATCTTTGATACAATTCGTACTGTGCTTAAAATGTATAAATTTGATTATCTAGACAATGTGTTGTGTTTTGAATGGTGCTTACTGGCAATTGATGAAACTAGATTATGAAACATAGGTGTTTACAAACAAGCTACCATTCTTTGTGTTAATCCTTTGTTTGGTTGAGATATTGTCAACTCATGTACCCCTGTTGTTATTATCTAAACTTAAAGATTTTCATAAAATATTTAAATGTATAATCGATATTTTATAGAGAGGACTTCAACAGTAAACTCTATTTTGATAAAAAAAAAAAAAAATGTATTTCATAAATTGTACAAAAATTTAGCGTGTTTCTGTACTATTCTAACACGTGACTGGTTGGTGGACAGACTATTACCCTGAAGAAGTGACAGCATGCAGTCTTCGTAGATCTAATTAATCTTATTGGACATTGTGTGCAAAGAGGGCGCACCAATTACCTGTCATTATGTAAATGCAGTCCTCTACTCAAGGAGACCCATAAATACATCAAAACAAGTTATCTTTCATTTAATATCAAAATAAAAATAATTTTGACAGCTCTATAGCCATGTTTGGGGCAATTTCTGTCAAAATTTTTGACTTTCTAATCATACCTTTGATATAAATTCACTGTTTTTCTATTGATTCTAAAAAAAAACACTGTATGTACGGAGTAAGCAACCAAAAGGTTTTAGCGTCAGAATTACAGAGGAAATCTTTTTAAGTCAATAATTTGCATTAAAATAAAACCTTTCCTTTTGTTCATTATTTAAACTGATTCAGGTGTAAATGTCCTGGGGCTCATGTAATCCTATTGCTGATTCAGGTAGGACAGGTAAAAACTCAGGTGGAAAAAAACAATCCAGGTAACCAAACTCTACAGATGGTAGTGCTGCACTGCATTAATTAGCTTTTGATCTGAGCTATAATTTACCTGGATTCTGGAGTCAGGGTCAGCACCATCAAAAGCTTAATTGGACTTGATGATGGTCTGTTTTATTTCTTGAAATTCACAGATGGTGCCCAAGTTAATCACACATACTCTTGCCGTTAATGGTTATACAGCCAGAAGCAGGGAAATCATTGTTCGCAACTATTTTGAATTATTTATAGATACCCTGCATCTGATTGGTTTGGAGCGTGTCCAGGTATTTC